CGGGGGGGGGGATATCTGATCTGCATGTGTAAAGCATACAAAAAAAGTCCTTGGTGGCATAGGTCCGGGTATTGGACATCCAAATCTCAGACTTTGTACTGTATATCATTTGTAGAGGTTACACAATTCCTGCCCAAGCAAGTATAAAGTATAGTTGCGATACAAAGAGGAAAATAATTATTAATATCACTTGATTGCAATAAGGTACTTCAATCCTTTTTACAAAATATTTACAATTATTAAATCAAAAATTAATATATAACATTAAATGTTCATGTAATCTTGATAACGTGCTGGAAAAGTAACTCACCCCCCACTAGCTACTGTTTTAAATTTTGAATCCTCCGTCTTTCCATTTTCATGTCTGTGTAATGAGGTCTTTTGTTTCTCTTTATTTGTTAGGTTTTGAGAATCATTTGCACCTGAGGCTAATAAATAAGTTTGTTTTAATTGGTTGACAGAAACATTGCTTTCCTTTCCTTTAATTATCACTATATAATACTTGTCATTTCTGGCAATCACAGGAAGAGGTCCTTCATAAGGGTATTCTGATGTTTTCTTGACACGGCACACTCTGACAAATACATGTGAACATGAATATAAATCCTTTTATGAAAAAATAATTTGTTAATTTGTTTTCTTTTACATTGGCTTTTAATTGGTTTTAATTTTTCCATTTGTTATTGCTGTTTGCTAGTGAAGATATCTGGCTCTAATTTTGTTTTTAGTTCTTTAAAGAATTCTGATAGCTTCAGTGATTTATCATAAACTATTTCTCCAATGGAGCGGTTGGTATCGTCTTGTGGAGATGCACGTATACCAAAGAGTATAGTTGTTAGTTTCACTCCATTTGACTGAATTGTTAGCTCTCATCGTGGCTGCATTTAATGTTCTGTGTTGTCTTTCATTTTTTCTATTGCATTGTGGATGGCATGAAGTTGTTTGCATTTTAATTCTACAAATAGTACCTAAACTTTTAAAAAGTTCTGATCTCAACTAATTTCCTCTGTCTGTGATCATGCTGTATGAAACATCAAAGCAACAAATCCAATTTGCATAAAATGCTTTTGTTTCTGTGGTGATATTTTCTATTGATATAACTTATAAGTAAGTAGTAGTATTATGAAATAAGTAAAATGATTGATGCATGTTAAGCAATATTTATTTCTGTTTGATAGCGGGTAGGGTTCAATTATATCATTATGGACAGTGCTAAATCTTTCATCGGGTCCTTCAAATGAGCTTGGGATGTGTATGCCAAATAATTTCATTTTTCTGGCAACTAATGCAAGTTTCATCTCATCATCTCCATCATCTCACGTCTGTTTTAATATTCTTTTTAAAACATTATTATTCTAATCATTTTTTTTTACTGTTGTCATTTGCAGTCACATAGGATATCATTGCACTGGGTACGTCAATTTTGATAACATTAATGTTGCATTTATAAAGGAAGACATACATTTCATTCAGAAAAATCTGCTGTTTTTGTGAACCAACAATCTTTCCTCTAAGCTGTGTATATTAAATAATAGATGCAAAAATAATTGTAGGAGGAAAAACATTTTTAAGTTTTTTCACTTAAACTCTTATTTAAAAATCATAAAATAATTTAATAAAAGCAAAAGAATAAATAATTCTCTTTGCAAAATAAATCTACAATTTTATATCACTAAAATGAGAAGCGTGGAAAATGAAAAATTTATAAAGCTTGCAGCTTATACATGTGACAATAAAATTCGATTATTATGTTTCTTTATTTAGCCTTCCTTGCTTATATGCTTCGTGGTAGAAAATTGTAGATGAATTTTGTAAAAAAGAATAATTATTTAATCTCATAATAAATGTTTTCCCCTTTTAGTTCATTAATTGTTTTACGAGTTTTAAATCAAAATTTTTCCGTATTTTTAAGAGAACTTCTCTCTTTTTATTAATTTTTTCATACTTTTAGTCGGAATGACATGTTGCCAATCAAATTATTCAATTAAAAAATCATATCTCAACAATGAATAATTGCTCTTTTTCTGCCAACAATCCTGTTACATGACAGATGGTTGGGAAAATACAGCAAAAAAAAAAAAAAAAAATGCTTTAAATTTTCATTTAGAAGATTTTGTTTTATTCGATGCTGCACACAATAAAATTCAGAGATTTTTACTTTGTTCCCTAAACGAAGATATGTGCTAAAAATCGCTTCAGCTTTAAGTTTTAAAAAAGGTAAGACGAACTTTGAAAAAGTGCTTCATTTTCATACACAATAAGTCCGTATGCAAAATTTGAGCTCCATAACTAATAAGAAAATAGAATAAAAACCGGTGGCAAAGATTTTACCATAGTGACAACACCGTGAGCGAGTTATGTAAAAGCTTATGAAAGAGAGCTAGTTTTAAAATAAAGTATAGAAAGCAACCTACGTAAAATTTCTTTTATCATTCTTGATTTTCAAGGGGGTGAAATGTTTGTTTTAAAAACTGAAAACTTCAAGCCTTTATAATGGATACATTTTTTATATTAGAATTTTAAAGGTCACTGAAGAATAAAATATTACATACCTGAATAAAATAAACAAAATCAGTCCGTAAATTAAATGCTGAGAAAAATGCATATAAACTTATGAAAAGCAAACATTTAGTAATGACGTGGTAGATTTCCTAGTACATAATTTTAAAACAGTTATAAAATCTTTTTTAAGCCAGGGGGTTATTAATAAAATTAAATTAATTGTAAAATGCAAAATCTATATGTAAAAAAGCAGGAGAGATGTGACCTTTATGAAAATGACAGAGGATATTTGTAGTGCGCTTCATTTCTTTTAAGTAATTCTTTACAGCGGAGGACTGAGATTAATAAATAAGTAAGTGAAATTCATTTTAGAGACGTCTTTAGAGAAGCTGGCAAAGTAGTGTGATGTAATAAGATTATAACTGTGAAACTGATGTTTCCGAGTGATGCCAAAGAAAAACCGACACTTCGCTTTTTTCTTCATTGCCTCATCCCATATTTTTTAAAAATTCACCCAATTAATATCTTTTCATCATTTTTTAAACAGTGCAAAGAATTTATTTTGTAATTTGTGAAAATTTCAAAACTTTGTGACTAATATATTTTCAGATGTGAAATTTTTAAATAATGGATGTCAAAAAGTATAAAGAACTACATTCAAAAATTCTTCCCAAAATATTCAAATAAATTAAGTTAAAAATTTTATTTAAAAGATTTTTTCTCTCCTTTATCCAGTAGTGCAAGCAATAAAATTCTGAGATTTTTATATTGTTTGTTAAGCAAAAATATGCCTAAAAATACTTTCAACATTGAGGTTTAAAAAATATAAGAAAAAGTCGTGCCTTCACATCCAAAAGCTGTGTATGCACAAAATTTCAACTTGATACCTTATCAGGAAGCAATTTAAAAAATTGATGAGAGACTTATAACCATAACGACAAATACCTTGAGTTAGCTAAGTAAAAGCTTATAATGATAATAATGCAGTCAAAGGTCTTTAATCCAGACTCGTCGGGACTTCGGCGATTCCGGATTATCGGTTTTTCCGGATTATAGATCATCAGTTTATATCTGGTAAGATGGCATGCAGATATTATAAAATTAAAAATATGAAACCCTGATTTATGAAATAAAGAGCAATTATGATCTAAAGGGTATAAAAATTTACAAAAAAAAAGCTTAATATTTATTTGTTTACTTTATTAAACATTTCTTTCAACGCGCGCATGCGCAAAGCATACATTACTCATAGTCGAAATTATAAAATTGCAACCAGAAAACTATTTGATGTGTATTCGTAATATTTATAATGGCGAGGAAATTGATTTAAAATTATATCGGAGTACATCGAGATGCAACACTACATTTAGTGAGGAATTATAAGCCGAATAAAATAAAAACATCTGCCCTGAAGATGAGTATAGTGCTGACAGATCAACTTCCAGTTCATTGCGACGTTTTCCCCCCCTTTCCGCAGAGCAGCGTGAAATTTATCAACAGATTTCGGAATGGTTAGAGAAACAAATCACTTCTCTGTCACTTTCTTCATGCCTTTATCCATTTTTTGCAGCAGTTCCACTTTTTGTTTAATGGACTTCGAAACATGCTTTCAATTTGCAGATCCTTTGGCAGCTCCAGCATCGGAAATTCTATTTGACATAATCGAAAGTTCAAGCTTACTTTTATAAAATTGCTCTAACAGTCGGCAAAATATAATAAGCCGGATCCAATTCGAAGATTGAGGAACAACGCAACCTGCAACATTAACTGAAATAGATAATTAGATAATTTTAGCTTAGCTTATACCGTCTGTTATACATTAAACGCGCATTCGTAAACGTATTATGCGCATGCGTAAAAGTATTGCGCATATGAGTAAACTCTTATGCGCATGCGTTGGCGCAAAAGTTTGTAGCTTTGAGGTCTGGATTATAGATCATTCCGGATTATGGGTGTCCGGATTAACGACTTTTGACTGTAATAGAGTAACTTTTTTCGGGAACCATTACAAAAGTTTTGGTATCATCTGTACCAACAGTAAACAACATTAGAAAAGTGTAAACAATATTAGATATCAATCACATTGATTCATGTTTTAACACCATTGTTTACAGTGGCTTATAGAAAAAGGGAAGGAAGACGGAAGTCTTTTGAACAGATTTTTAAAGATGAAACTCCTTCATATCTCCTTTTTCTCCTCTTGCTAATGGCATCTGTACAAAGGAACTTTGCATGTGAACAGGGCTTAAGATGGTTAAGAGAAGCAATCAAAATCTAGCACTTTTGAACTGTAGAATTTTTTAGATTAATGTTCAGTTTTTCTCAAAATCATGTGCAACAATGAAGTATGAATAAGCGTTTAATAGCCACTCGTTGCATTGTTACTTTTGCGCATTTACTGTACATTAAAGGAAAAAGAGAATTTTAATTTCAGCTTTTATAAATAATAAAATTATGCTGCAGTTTACTAGAAAAATTTATTTTATTAATTTTCATAGTGATCTTGAACGTGTAAGAGAAGGTATTGGGGACAAGTTCAGCATGGTTATTCAGTATTATTCAACATTTATCGCTGGTTTTGTGGTTGGCTTTATTAAAGGATGGCAATTGACATTAGTCATTATGTCCTTAACACCACTATTAGCATTGTCATCAGCATTTCTTGGAAAGGTAATACCATGTTTCTGCATGTTTTGTTCTTTTAATTGTGATGGATAGTTCGAATCTGTATTATCTTTACATTTTATTACCTTCATATTACTTTTACAAAAATTTAACATTTTAATTGTTTTTCAAATATTAAAATTGAAAATCAGCATATTTGTTTTTGGGAATAATACTTTTTAAAATAACCCATTTTTACATAATAGTTTAATATTGCTCGATTATAATATTTTTCTTTTTTAATGCTTTATTTTTACACTCATTTGCAATAGTTGATTGCTTCTTCATCTGCACGAGAGCAACAAAAGTATGCTGTTGCTGGGGGAATTGCTGAAGAGGTTTTGTCAAGTATTAGAACTGTTACTTCATTTAATGGACAGGAAAGAGAATGCAAAAGGTATGTTTACATGGCCTTTATTCTTCAATATTTCATTTAAATATAGCTTTATAAAATTTAAAACGAGTTTTTTGAATCTGTACATATTTTGGAATATTTTTTCTCTTTTTAGAGGTACTTTATTAGGTACTTGTAATTAACTATGACTGGGAACGTAGTACCAAGGTATGATGAGAGTGTGCTAATAAATATGTGATGTCTACCTAAACTGTTTTATTTCAATCAGTGTGCTCAGTCTTGTTCTATTTGGTTTTGACTTTTTCTGCATTTGTTAGTTTCTTAATGAGTCTTTGAGATTTCAAATAAAGTGAAACCTATTCCCTTTTTTTCTTCTTCAGAAAGACAGAAAATTTTTGAGAAGACCAAAATAATCTTAATTCCTTTATAATCAAAGGATGCACTGCTAAAGAAAGCATGCCATGGAAAGTTCAGAATTTAAAAGTACAAGGGGCGGTAAGAATAAATGCATAAATTTGTCATGAAAGAAGTGCCATCATACTTTCAAGATCCATATCCTGTAAAAACCTCAGATTATGACTTTAATTCACTCCTGAATGCCATTTCTCATCCACTATATTAGCAAAATGGAACAATTTCCCCCATATGAATTAACATAAGATGGATTAATCTATTCCTGCACTGTATTTAATTGCTTATTTAATATTTACAATAGTCCTTTATGTGTAAATGCATAACATGAAACTGATAAAAATCATTAAACCTAAGACAAAAAATGGTGCTATTATTTAGCTTTCCATATAAACATCAGGTAACTGAATTTCAGGGGCATCATCTTTTATATTTTCTTTTTGTCTTAGTGCCACTTGAATTCTAGTTGATATGCACTGGCTCTGATTTTACTCAAAATTTTTCCAATATGTTTTATTGTTATCTCCGTTTTAAAATGTTTCTAAAGTGAGACATGCCGTTTTCATTAAAAATGCTTCGCTGTAGCCTTCTGCTGCTTTATCGGGGTGATTTAATATGAAAATTTGAACCTTGCTCTATTTTGCACACATGCTGTTCTCAAAAACCTAGGTTCATCTTTTCCTTTGTCTCCTCGGAAGACGTTTTCCCCACAATCACCTTCTGCTGCTGCTGCAGAAGTTCCTTTTCTATCTTATTGAGCTTATTTTTATTGGTCCTCTAGTAAATTTATTTCTTCACTATTAACTCCTAATCCCGAGGTTTTGCTTAACGTCACAATATAATAGATAAAAAACATCATCAGAGTCAACCTCAAAATCTTTACCTAAGGCACCAACATCTAGCCATTTCCTCCAGGCTCTTCTCCTGTCTTTCCATAAAGGGCATATTGTTAAACACAGAATTTAAACAAACATCTATATTAATGAATGGGGATTAACATTAAGCATATTAATATTATATTATTAATGTATAGGTAAAATTATAAAATTTGAATAATAAAAATTTTAAACTCGCCATTTTTGGTTCTTTTGAGTATTATAAAATCTTCTAAAATTTATAAACAATTTACATTGAGGATACATATATTATTTGATTTACGGAAAGAACAGTATAGATCGGAAGCCTAAGATACAATCAAAAATCTAAAAATAACATTTTGATTACAGTCATTCAAATGAAAATTATTTGAATTAGAATTCTGTCCTTTTATTTTGAATAATAAATTCCTTTATAACATCTTCCGAAAATAAAGGCAATGCTTAATTCTCAAAAGAACTTTCTTGATAGATAATATGCTAAATGCACTTAATTTCTCTTGTGATTTCATTATTCTGATGTAATTATACATCTCAGTGCTGAAAATAATCATTCTATTGATGTATTCAAAACTGGAAAAAGCAAAGTTCTCTTCATACAGAAGGTCCATAAACTCGTTTAGTAAGAGAACCAAATCTTTTGGTTATATTATTGTAATATTTACAAATTTGAAATCAGGTGACTTTGCTTTGAGAATTTAGGTAATATTTATATATATTATCTAAGTATATAAATTAATATATTATTTCTATTAATTTATATATTTAGGTAATATATATAAATACAGTCAAAGGTCTTTAATCCGGATGTCCATAATCCGGAATGATCTATAATCTGGACCTCAGAGCTACAAACTTTCTGCGCATGCGTCAATGCATAATGCGTTAACGCATACGCATATGCGTCTACGCATACGCATAATACGTTTATGCATGCGCGTTTAATGTATAACGGACGGTATAAGCTAAAATTATCTAATTATCTATTTCAGTTAATGTTGCAGATTGTGTTGTTCCTTAATCTTCTAATTGGATCCGGCTTATTATATTTTGCCGACTGTTAGAGCAATTTTATAAAAAGTAAGCTTGAACTTTCGATTATGTCAAAAAGATTTTCCGATTCAGGAGCTGCCAAAGGATCTAGAAAGCGAAAGCATGTTTCGATGTCCATCAAACAGAAAGTGGAATTGCTGCAAAAAAATGGGTAAAGGCATATCCTTTGTTTCTCTAACCATTCCGAAATCTGTTTATCAATTTCACGCTGCTCTGGGGGGGGGGGAAAACGTCGCGGCGCGCAATGAACTGGAAGTTGATCTGTCAGCAACTATCCTTCATCTTGCAGGGCAGATGTTTTTATTTTATTCCGGCTTATAATTCCTTACTAAATATGTATTTCACCTTTATTGTACTCCGTCCTTTGGATATGATTTAAATCAAATTCCTCATCATCATTATAAATATCACGAATACATATCAAATAGTTTTCTGGTTGCAATTTTCTAATTTCGACTATGCGTAATGTATGCTTTACGCATGCGCGCGTTGAAAGAAATGTTTAATAAATTAAACAAATAAATATTAAGATTTCTTTTTGTAAATTTTGATATCTTTTAGGTCATAATTGCTCTTTATTTCATAAATTACAGTTTCATATTTTTAATTTTATAATTTTTGCATGCCGTCTTACCAGATTTAAATTGATGATCTATAATCCGGAAAAACTTCTAATCCGAAATCGCCGAAGTCCCGACGAGTCCGGATTAAAGACTTAGTCCGGATTAGACTGTATTACCTAAATTCTCAAAGCAAAGTCATCTGATTTCAAATTTGTCAATGCACACTTCTTTTGCTGACAATTCATTTGTCTCTTTTGTGCTGGCATTTTCCCATACTGCTTCCAAATCATTTTGCTGTGACGAAATGAATATATTGAAATTTTGCAGTTTCTTTTGCACAGTAAACATCGTAAAATCTCAAAAGGTAAGTGAGTGACAAAATATCATTTAAAGCACCTCCAGGTGAAAACGGTTTTTACATTCTGCCAAAAATTTAATAAACCCATGCACTCTTGATACATATAAAGGATCCCAATCATGGCAGTTCTGTATGTCTTCAAAAAGCATAGTTAATATTTTTTCTATTCTATGCACTGAATTGACAATTCTTGAGCAGAAGTTCCATCTTGTAGGTGCAGATTTAGGTAACTTTTTCTCCATGAACTGTTTAAGTGCATGAGTTCTTTTTTAGGTATTGAAAAAAATTCAGATATATTAGAGAATATTTTACAAAACATGCAGATAGTTGCAAAATCAAATTTAAAACATGACTGTAGCAATATGTGAAAATGGCTTGAGGATATTTTCCTTCTACTCATTTCTGCAATCCACTTACTTGCCCTGCCAAAAGTGCTACTTTAATGTAAGTGTCCAAAAAATTTTGTTTCAAAATCAAATTCTTTTGCAATTTTGAGAACGTGCACACATAATGCTTTAGCAGAACGATCGTCACTTACGTCAGAGAAACCTATAAATATTTCTTGGGTTTATCCTTTACATATCTGAGGCATGTAGATAATTGTGATTTATTGACTGAATTTATTGTTTTGCCTAGAAGGATTGAAACAAGCTGAAAATTCACTTTTTCTTTTTGCAAAGTATTCATGAGAATTTTGAAATGCAATTTGTAAAGTCATTCTGAATAGTTGGGAATGTTTTATAGAAAACAGTGCTTTCTTTCAAATGAATACCAAGCATAGCATCATTTGAACTGGTAAGAATTAGCAATTCTCTGTTGTTCCCCCTATTTATTGAATCTATGGACTCATGGCTTCTAAATAGCAGCTTCTGTTTTCCCAAGAAGCATACACAATCTATCGATCATTTTGAAATTTCACTGTTTTTTATTACATCCTCAATATTTAGCTTTACAGATATTTGCTTTTGTTGATTTAACTGTAGATTTATTCTTGATTGCCCAAATGTGACAAGCTAAAAACTTGTTTTAATATGATCAAGAGATGTTTCATGTCTTGAGAGGGACATTGATAATACACTGGTGATCATAAATTAAGGAAAAATCACAAAAATCACGATTACTGAAAAAGTTACATGTAGAATTTTATGAAACTTATCCACAATATACAACACATAGTAATGTATCAAACAACATAAAAAGAAATTACAAGACAATTATGGTAGTATAGAAATTAGCACGTGTATAAAATGAACAAATCGAAGATGTCAGTTTGCTATAGTAAACGTACCTTCAATATGGAATATAATCGCCTCTAAAAGCAATACAGCACATTCAGCGATGTGTGATGCTTTCAATTATGCGGTCTATCAGTTCCATAGGAAGCGAGAGCCATTGCTCTTGCAAAGCAGTTGCAAACGCGGCAGCGGCAAGGGTCTAAGGGGGTGGATTGAAAGCAGCTAGACGTCTCCCTAAAGCATCTCAAACGTGCTCGTTAGGATTCAAGTCCGGGGATCGAGCTGGCCACTCCATGCGCATAATTGTTTCTTGTTGAACATAACCATATACGATGCGAGCCCTGTGTGGTCTTGCATTGTTGTCCTGTAACAGGAAAGCATCACCTATTGCCCCGCCATATGGGCGCACATAAGCATCAAGGATGTCATATCTATAAACATGAGCATTCACGGTTCCCCTTGGAAAAACACGTAGGTCTGTGCGTGCACCCAAAGAGATGCAACCCCAAACACAGACACTGCCTTTTCCATATGCATCTCTTTCACG